ATGGACAAATTAATGCCCGAACGTGAAATCCATCCATTGGATAGCACCAAAGAAAAATCCAATCTTGTAAAGAATCTTCTAATGCCAGTCTAGAGACTTCAAGCTCAAAAGTCATCCTCTCCTCGCGAGCTCATTTGAGCTCGCGATGAATAGTAAAATTCAAAAAAATGACAAAAGTTGATTTTTTTTTTGTGCCGAACTTTGGCAAATGTTTTCAGTGCTTGCAAACTTTCATCATAAAGTGACATTCATGGAATTTGGAGCAAAATAATCAATATCAACACTCCCAAATACTTTCAAGAATAACACTTTTGAAGCATCAATTTTTTTTTGCATGACTTCCATGAGTGCCATTTCATGGTGAAATTTTATGAGCACTCAAAACATTTGTCAATTTTTGCACCAAAAAAAATCTTCTTTTTGGATTTTACTGTTCCTCCGAGCTAATTTGAGCTCCAGCACACAAACAACCGGAAATTGTACTGATGGGTAAGCAAGAATGGGGGCAAGGTTGATCACGCCGTTGTGAGGTTGATGGAACTGGGAGACGGCGCAACGATGAGGAAAAGGGCAAAGGAGCTTAAGACCAAATCAATGGAGTCTCTGAAGAACGCTGGGTCTACCCAGCTGGCAGTCGATCAGTTGGTAGATCATATACTGTCTCTATGAAACTATTCGAGGTGGTTGAACCTAAACCGATGTTCGGATATATTTTGGCAAAGACCAAGAAACAAACACTGGAGCAAATGACAGCAAGACTCGTGTGCCTAAATCTTGGCGACGAGAAGTAGAATTAGCTGTGCAAGAAAAGACACTCCAAGATCATAATGCAAGATCCTTTTGTCTTCTCTCATAGGGACCAAATAGTTATATTTGTTGTGACATTTGCAGCTTCGTGTGTATCATACACAAACATCTTCCAGTATATGATTTTCCTTAATTTAGTTATCTGAAAAACGAGTTAAAAGCCAACGTCTCAAACGGAAAGAGTACTGCTTACCTGGTTGCAGCAGCCAGCAGGAGATGTACTGTTTGTTTGAAACTGTACCTACTGGTATCATTTTCAAATGGCATGGAGCGCTAGTCGCTTACAAGCATTTGTCTGAATTAGGTACCTAACATGCACCTAGTGATTCAGGCAATTGCCTGAATTAGGTACCACAATTAAATTCTGCATTGTTGGGGCCATCTCAATGGGAGAAAATACACGTTTTGACAAGCATTTGTCTGAAAATAAGTCACAAATCTTTTAAATTCTGTATTGGTGGGGCCTTCTCACAAGGAGAAAACACCCTTTAAAAATTAGTGTATGCTGCTTAATGTGACATGCACACGGTATTCTTTAGTAAAAGGCGAAAGAATAGTTCGCTTTGTGCTCACCACGCAGCTGTGTGAGTTTTACAGCTCCGCACCCCACAGTGTTATGTAGCTGAGTCCCATCCCTTATCCTCTTTCCCAGGCGAGGTGGGACTAAACCAACGGATCCTGCGTCTCATGCTTCCTTCTGCTGCAGGCCTGCAGCGATCGCACACTGCACCAGAAGCCCACAAAAGTACATTATGTTGGTTAGGCCTGGCATGCAGGTGGTCGGCCCATGGAGTGACGGCCGCTGCAGCCTGCTCATGCCAACTTTCGGAGAGTCTTGGCGCAAGTGGGTGGGACAACAAGAAACGACACTTGCATGTAGGCCTCTCCCGTGCTCTCACTCCCATTAATTCACATGCATTCTATTATTGCTTTTCCAATTTTTTACGAGTATTATCTTTGAAATAAAAATTTTGTTTTAAGTTTTTTGATATATTTGAAGTAGTTTAATTTGTGTTTCGGTCATATTTGAAATCAGTTTAATAAACATTACATTATTTTAAATGTAACTGAATATATATTTCAGTTATTTAACTCTATTTTAGAAAAATATTAATATATATTTTAGTTATTTTCACACCACATAAATCATTTTTGGAATAATATAAAATCATTTTTAATAGTTGTTATCACTTGCGAATTTTGTTTCAATCTTACTAAATATGAATGAGTTTTAAATATATCCGATATCACCCTTGTTTGAAAGGCCTTTTTACCATGATTTCAAATAATTATAAAAAAACAGAATTCAAGTGTAAGGATATGAAGCATATAAATCACTAAGAAAATTAAAATGCGAACTTTTTATACTTAAGACATATATATGAGAGAGAATGGAACATCCTTGCATGCACCTTAATTGCAATATCGTCCTTCTTCAGTAGCTTGCCACATTTTGTCTATACCATTTAGTCAGGGCGCCAATGTAGTTCCCGCTCTTTTTCTATGAAAAAATGGAGATAATGGTATCTTCCTGGATATTGAGAATTGTGTTCTCATATGCGTGACTCTAAGGACGAAATCACTTCCCCCTCCATAGGCCTTACTAGATACGAAAATGCAGAGTATTTGGCTGGCCAAGAGAAGGAACTCTCGAGTTGGCTCCAATTCCAAACAAAGCCCCAAGTAAGATTCATGAGACAGCTTTCCTGTTGGTCCTGTTAAAATGGACATGGAGTGTTTGGCCATTTCGCAAGATCTGCTACCTTCCAGTGTC